ATGAGCTGAGTTACATAGAGAGATACGGCTCACACTTAGCCGTATAGACTGTGAGTAGGGCATATGCTGCCGCTGTAGTACATGCCATTGTCTTTACCACCAAAGCACTCATGTTGAGCATACCAACTGCACCAGGTGCTCATTTTCGGCTGAAACAACCGTAGGTGGAGCTCCGGAGCAAAGATTGCAGACTGCTCCTGGACTCGCGGTGCACCCTTGGGCGAAAGTGCACGAATCACGAGTCGCCGCGAGCCCTTCCCGCAAGTTAATTCGTATTTGAAATCTATTCGAAATTAACTGCCAGGTTTTATTACGTTTATTTAATGCCACTGTTGTAAACCTACAGAAAGTGACTTTGAATGTCGTTTGTAAAAAAATATATATAAGCTCGTTAAAATGACATGGAGAGAAATAAAACGGAAAGCTATGCACATACCTGAATTTAGCCAATGCGTTGTTTATTAGTATTATCTTTTCCATCGCTTACACGATTACCTAAATGCATTTCGGAATAAAAAAAAGTTTATTCTATTCATAGCCTCGAATGGAATCCAATTTCCCTTTTCCAAAAATGGGCGATAGAACACAGATAAACGTTGCACATTAACACATCAGAATATTAACATTTTCATTGCAGGGAAGTTCCTGTTGATTAAATTCTCGTTGAAATTACACAGAGTGCCAGGATGATGACCAATTGGATTTCGAGATCATGTGCGAACTAGAGACATCAAATCGACTGTTAAGAATAGTGCTGCTAAGAAGGGCCTTTTCCCGAAACGTCGCCTATTATATATTTTTCTCCTCTTAAAGCCACAGTGTTATAGATGAATGCGTTGTGTTTTTTGTTGTTGTTTTTGTTTGTGCACCGCTACCAACGCAGCCGCATCACCAAATAACACTGTTCAACAAAAAAAAATCATTTTTTTCTGGCCTGGACTTTTGCAGCTGTTTTAGACTAATTTCAGGGTGCTGATTCCAAATCTGATCTCAGATTTGCTCTATCACATCTCATTTTTATGCTATCGGCATACCCCATTTTAATTGATTTTACCCGAAATTAACTCTGTCACTTATGATTGCAAGTTGGTGCGAGTCAGTGACTGCTTTAGTGTTAAAATATGGTGCTGTATTTTTAGGATGGTGTGTTTATAATATAATTTTATGAAGATATCCATATTTATTTAATATTTTTCTTCTGCAGTTTTTATTGAAAATGCAATATTTGATATCTCAAAAACCTGATGTGATGGACAAAAACTGATGCCAGATTTGGAATCAGCACCCCAAAATTACCTTTGCGAGATGGATTGTAAATGTTGTGACTTTGCTCTCCAACACACAACCGGTGTGCTGTACTAGTAACGAATCGGCACGTTCTGATCACGTGACAAACCTAATTGGCTGTGTCGGGTGGTGGCGAGTTTAACGACACATATATTTACGCGATCTAACCCCCAAAAAAAATCTGTATTATGGATGATATTGGTCACGAAAGCCTCCTACGTGTTAAACTGAGATGGATTGAGAGTGCGTGAGGGGGCGTCCTTCGACGAGCAGTGGATAGGTCACAGGTCATCGCTGACAATGATGACTTTCGTATGAATTTACAGCGTTCGTGTCAGTCCACTGGTGGATGAAGGCCACTCCATGCACGTCGTATCAACCTTGGCGGTTGTTTGGCCACACTTGACCCATGCTGGTCGGTGCGGATTGGTGGAGGGAGGGAGGGAGGCAAGCCAGGACCAGTTCAGATATCGCTCATCGCTGATGTTGACGGTGGCCAGGATTGGAGGCCAGGTTGCCGGGTTCGTAGCGCAGTGCGCTAACCACTGCGGGACTTGCTCCCTCATTACACTGTGGGTATAAGGAGCACTTGACATACACTTGTGAGTCATGCGTCTCCGTGCATTTACAAAAGACAGAATGTTCAACAAAAAATCCAAGTGTGTGGAATATAAAATTATTTACATACTGCACAGTGACCATCATTTTTCCAATTATCTGTTTGACTAATTGGATAACACGAATATATTTGGATAAGCGAAAAAAAAAGTCTCTGCCCTGTTCCCACTTGTGCCGCTGGACGGGAGGTGATGGGGCCTGGGCTTGGCCACGCCGTCAGCATCATCAGGCCGCCTCGAACACGCACGGCGTTGTTTGCAGGGGGGGGGGGGGGGCGGTGGGTTTCCTGCCTTCGGGGAGAGGCCGAGAAGTCGGGGCGGCCACGCACAAAACAAAAAAAATTTGATAATGATAAATTCCGGTTGATGACTCCCATCGACGGTCCGTCGTGCCGGCCGAAAAACCGCACACCGCAGTGGCGTCAAGGTGGGGGGGGGGGGGGGGGGCTTCTTGCGTCACATAATCCTGCAGCTATTCGCCGGGGCCTCTCTTCCCATTTCTGTTCGGCGTCCGTGCGAAGGGACGAGGCTTTCGTCTGCGCATCTTTGTCCGTGAACAGTGCGCCATCGATTGTGCCTTTTCTCGGGTTTGACATTGGCCTTGCCCCCCAAACGCGTCTCATCGATTCTATTGGCCAATTTAATTAACTGGTGGCTGAAGGTGTGAGTTTGTTCATTACGGATAGACATACTGTCCTCTGATTAAAGCACGGGTTGTTATTTTATTTATAATTCTTCAATGCCTTTTCCTTCTCGCGCACAGCACAACATTGGTTCCGGGCGTGAGCATCTTCAAACGTGCTCTTGAAGGTTGTGAGCCGCTTTGTGCATTGTGCACTATTAATATCGTAGCGATCATGATAATGCTGCCTCTTTAATCGTATCGAATCAATGTTTTGCACTACCGTGCGCAGTGGTTCATCTCTCTCACTCGCTATCTTCATATCATCGTCATCAACATCCTAATATGAAATTTCACATGATCAACTTCAATGTATTGTACGCATTCTGTTTATGGGAGGGGGTGGGGGGGGAGGATGCTGCCACATTGGGGTAACGGTCAGCGCACCGGACTTGCAAACCAGAGGTCGCCGGTTCGATTCCATCTCTTGGCGTGCGGCAGTTGAAACAACGGTGCGAGTTTCTGAAATACCACCCCCACCACCCACCCACCACGAGTCACAATCAACAGGATCACGCATGGTTGGGGCAAGGTGTGGGTAACTCGCACCTCTTCAGAGACGTCCGGCCAGCGTGGATGGGTTAGACCACACAGTCTGTTCTCGAGAGTGACTCTCCGCAGCTGCCGATTCGCCGGCAGTTGCGTGAGCAAGCAATTGCAGGCCTGCGCCTTTACCTTTTGTGCTTTGAGTGTGGTGTTGGTGGAAGGGTACTGCCCGTGGACTGGCTGCCCAGCGCGGTTTGTTTAATTCACCTCCATCACGCAGCCCTGCGCAGTTCGCAAAAACCGAGGTGCGTATAGATTCAGGAGTTTTCAGCTTACACGTGGATGGAAAATCAAAGGGCCCTGAAAAAAAACCAACGCGTGCGACGAGGCAACACTTATCCCATACAGATAGCACAGACGATGTTAGTCAACAATTGCCGTACGACCTTTTTCTGGCGAGCCCAGGGTACCTCCTCGACGCCCACGGGGAAGGGAGTTTCGAACCATCTCTGTGCGATCCGCCAACCCTCGCTGCTGCCTCCACAGCGCCGGGTTACAGGCAGCCCACATGGAGCAGCGTAGCCACCAGGACTAAATCCGTGGAGCTCTGAAGCTTTTTCTCACAGATGTCCAGCAGAGACATCGCTCCAGAGGGCCGATCGGCTGCTGAACTAACAACGCGATTTCGTGAATGTTTATCGAGAGATGGGCATTTTTTGTCTGTTGATTCTGAAAAAAATCCCATAATCCCCCACAACGGGACGTCATACACCTTAAAAATGATTCTGTAGTTTACTGGAATTTGCGCAGATTAGGTTGCTCTTTTTCTTTGCTGGTTTAGCACGATTGCACATTTATCCGAGTCGTTTTAATGTCTACAACCCCTTGTTTTTTTTGCATTTGCTCGTGTTTTATTCCATACGAGCAGATCCATAACAAAATTATCTCAATCCATTGCCATATGCAAATAAAGGGTATCATTGCCTACTAGGCCACGTAAGTGGCTGTCCTATGAATAGAATTTCCTCTACTGGCTGAGGGCTACTCAGAGAGACTGCCACTCCAGTGCCCATTGGAGCAGGGAGACATTTATGCGCTTGATTGGACGGCTACTTATGCCTGAAACGTGTTAGCGCTGCGGACCGACTCCTCAACATGACGTTGGACGTGTTGTGAGTTTTATTCCTCGTCAAGCAGTTAGTCAGCTGACCATATGCCAATGGCGTCGATCAAATGGAGCATAACGACAAATCAACAGTGGAGGTTTTGCGCATGGCTCTATGGACTCTTTTTAATCTTGTGTTTTTAAATGTATTTCAACTGTATTAAACACACTGTGTGTGTCCCTGTGTGTTTTGTGAGGAGCGGTATTGTAGTGGTTAGCGCGCTGTGCTATGTACCCGGCGACCCGAGTTCGATTCCCGCTCACGGCCAACACCAGTGATGACTATTTGAACCGGTGTTGGGCCTCCCGTAGGTCGACTCGGCCTCAAATGAGTATCTGGTGTGTAAACATCGCCACTAGGGAGACAAAGGCGGTCGGGCGTGGTGCTGGCCACCCACCCCCATAGTGTGTTGTTCCAGCCTTCGTAGGTGCTCGCTAACAGCACTTACCCCAACAGTTAGTTAGAGGCTATACGGGGGATCTTTGTCTTTGTTTTGCCTGTGTGTTTGGGTGCCTGTGTGTGCTAGTGTGTGCTGGTGTGTGTTTGTGTGTGCTGGTCCCAATGTACGTAATTGTTTTCTCAGATCATTTGGTTATAAATACTTTCTACTTTTTAGTATTTTGTATCTTGTTTATTAACTCTTGCTCCCGTGTCTGTCTGCTGGTCGAGAGTCACCCTTGAAAAAGCGCTGTATAGCTCAGTGGGCTATTTACTCGGATAATAAACTTCTGATTCTGTGCGCGCGTGCGCCGGTGTTTACAGAGATCAACTCGGTCGCTGTCTCCCCGGAATGAGCTGGGAGTGAGACCGGACGCTTCCAGAGCCGGCGCCGCACGCGAAGAGACGATGGAGGGAAGCCCCACGCACCCGGACGCCGCATCCTCCTCCTCCAAGCCTCGACCCCAACTCCCCGCCACCGTCGCCGCCGCGCCGTCCGTGGACTCAGCTCGGCCAAACGGAGGCGCGGCCACCACCTCGCCCTCTCCCAGACTCCTCAACGGGCTCGACTTTGCCGAGGACACGGTGCTGGTGGCGAAACAAATAATGGTCACCGACGACGACGACGAATGCGACCGGGAAGACGGTGGCGCTCTCACTGCGGACGTCGCGGCGGCAGGGGGCGACGCACAGACGACGCACGCTCGCGGTACGCCACCCACGCCGGCCGCTCGAGTCGGGGACGAGACGCGGCTCCCTGGCCCCGGGCCTCTCGCCAGGGCGGCCGGTGCGGGGGGCCGGTCCTCGGAGGCCCGCTTCGAGATCAAAGCCTGCAAGGAGGAGCGGAAGCCCTCGAAACTGTTTTCCGACGACGACGACGGCGGCGGTCACTCCGAGGGCGGCTACCGTCTCTGCCGCGAGGACCGGCGCGACGAGGAGAAGCAGGGGCTGGAGATGGAACGGCAGGCGTTGATTCGGAGCCAGGCCAAGCGCAGCGTGGCGGGCTCGCTGTCGGGCGGCGTCGCGTCGGTGGCTCGCGCGTGGAACCCCCCGCAGGATGCCACGCTGGAAGACACGCTGCACGAGTCGCAGCTCGAGTCGCTGCGACGCTACCAGGAGCGGAAACAAAAGCAGCAGCGGCGTTGGGGCGGCCACGTCGCGAGCGCCGAGCAGCGGCCAAAGACGGCGGAAGGGACGGAGTCGGATGCGGCGTCGCCGCCGTACAGGAAGCAGGTCACCAAGAGCGTGTCTCAGCCCGCCATCTCGGCGGCTGTGGCGCCGCAGCCGCAGCCGCGGGTGAAGAACGAGAACGTGGAAGTGGCCCCGGTGGACTTTGCCATGGCGCGTCGGCAGTTCCTGATGATGGAGAGGGCCAGCCACCTGCAGTCGTCGCTGCCGTACCCGATCCGGCGCAGGGCCAGCGTGGACCAGTCGCTCACGCCGCAGTCGCTGGGCTCCATCCCGCCGTCGCCCCGCACCGCGTCCCCGCAGTCGCCGCGCTCCACCTCGCAGTCGCCCATCTTCCCCACGCACGCCGTGCAGCGCCCGCAGGTGTCTCCCAGCTTCATCTTCTCGCACGCCAGCTTGCCGCCGAGCCACGCGCCGGGCTTTCTCCCCGCGCACTCCGCCAACACGGCGCAGCAGCAGCAGCTGCAGCAGTCGCCGGGCTCCACGCCCCCGCCGGGCTCCCCTCGGCCTCTGCCGTGCTCCGCTCGGCCCGCGACGCACGAGCCGCCCGCCGTCGTTGCCACCCACGCCACGCTGCCCTCGCCGCAGTCGCCCGGCTTCGTGTCGCTGGCCACCGGCTTGCTGCCGACGCAGTTTCCGGGCTTTGCGCTCGCACGGCCTGCCAAGTCGGTGGCCGAGGCCGCGGTGCAAACGGACACGGAGGAGCTGTCGGAGGAGCGGGGGCGTGGGGGGCGGCCTCCTGCGACGGAGTCGTCGAGGGCGGAGGCCGCGGGCGATGAGTCCGAGGGGAGGGCACCGGAGCGAGACGTGGGAGTTGAAGCGGTGGTGGGGCAGGTGGCGAGCGCTGAATGCGCGAGAAGCAAGTCGGGTGAGCGAGAAGCACCGGGGAAAGAAGAGCCGGAAGGGGGGGAGCGTGTGGAACCCGTGATGATGGCTTCTGTGGACGTAATTAAGGAATTGGACGTGGAGAATCGGGATGTTGCGGACAATTCTTCGCAGCAGAGTGTGCAAGAATCTCAGGCCGGGATTGATGCAGAGAGCAGGCCCACGGCTTCAACCTGCGGTGATATTGAAATGGATAACGCTGACCAGACTAAAGAACCAACCGTGAGCACTGAACCGTCGCTCAAAGCATTGTATGACTCGGTAGATAATGAAAAGAAAATAATATCGCCGCAGGGTGCAGCCGCGGGCGACGAGCAATGTGAATCGACTTTGGGGCCCGCGGTGTTGAATCGCGAGGTCGGCGCTCTGCACGTGACGAACGGCGTGTGTGACGGCGAGGGAAAGAAGACGACGGGCCTCGAGGCGCCTCTGCCGGCGACGGCCACTAGCGCGCCAGAGGCTGGGCAACTTCCGAGCGAGGGGGATTGCGCTGAGCTGCCCTCGAAGCGTAGCAAGCCGCGCGAAGAAGCCGTGGTCTTGAGTGACGAGCAGGAAAGGGCAGATAACGCAGCTCCAAAAAGCAGTGGAGTTAATGTTGCGGATAAGCCCACTGAGCCGCCCGGATCTAGTACAGAACTGTCAGATGGGCAGGAAAATAAGGAGCAGTTGTTGGATGCAATAAGGCAGGAAGACAATACCACCGGCATCACCTGTGTGGAGGAATGCACGGCAGAAGCGGCAGAAGGTGGAAACAAAACCGATGTAGGCGAGATGCCGGAAGGTACCATGTGTCTCCCAGACGGCCTTGCGAACGTTGAGCCGTCGTTGGAGAAGGATTCGGGATCTCTCGCTTTTCCGCAGACGCGAGATGGTCTGGACGATTCCTTCGCTGAAGTGAGCGGCGAGGCTGGCAGAGAAGACTGCGTCGTGGGGCAGGAGGCCGTGGAGATTGAGATCGTCGATGGGGAGGCAGGAGACGATGCCGCAACGGGCAATGCTGACAGTGAATCGGATCGCCTGTCGGAAAGCCGTGGAGGCTCTGCTCTGAAGTTTTCTGATCTGGAGGAGGATGGCGGCGGTAGCGGCGGCGGCAGCGAGAGATTCGCGGACGTCGACGACGGACGGGAGAGCGTGGAAGCCGTTGCCGCGGAGATGGTTCGGGCCATGGTGGCCAAGGCGGTGGAGATGATGAACGCCACCGCGAATTCGGAAGATAACCGCGACGGCAAAACGTTCGAGGTCGCTGCGGCGGAGGCAGAGTGGGAACCCACGACGGAGGACTACACGCTCGCGTCCGAATCATCCGAGAGTTTGCTCGCGGGCCAAGCCTCCCTCGACGCGTCCGAGTCCGCCGATTGCTTCAGTGGCGTCGCGGACAGGGAGTCCGTGGGGGTTATCGTGATCGGTTCGGTGAACGCCGTCGGGCCAAAGGGGGAGGTGAGGGTGTTGGACGAGGCCCTGGTTTTCGCCACGGGCGAGTTCGACTCCGGGGTGGAGAGCGTTGCCACCAAGACTCCCGATGGCGACAACAACACCCTGGGCTTGACCTCGACGGAGCTCAGCTTGGTGAGCGACTTCTGCGACACGGCGAACGAAACGCCGAGCATCTCGGCGGACGTCACTCCGGACGCAGAGAAGATGCCGATGCTGTTCATTTCCGTCAGCGACGAGAACAACCAGATCATTGAGCAGGAGATGATCGTGTCGTCGCTGCTCGACGAGCAGCGTAAGCACGCAACGGGCCGGAAGGCTCCGGCGGACGAAACGGCGGATCCCGTGACGAGGACGGGATCTGTCGAAGTGAAGGCATCGTCCCCCAGCTTTCAAAACGTCAACGGCAGCGACGAGAGCCTGAACGAGGATATTGGAGCGGATGAACTTCAGATTGAGGATGTAGTGAAAGATTTGCAGGACACGGTCGCATTCGAAGAAGGTAGGCAGGCAGATGTTGAAAGAAGTTTGGCTCAGGGTGACAAGCGCGTGGACGTAGCGGCGGCTTCGGTTGAAGAACACACGCAAGTTGACCCTGGGATGCCATCAGTTGAAGAAGTCGAGCAGGTGAATGTTGTGATGCCTTTGGTTGTAGCACACACGCAAGTTGACCCTGAGACAACTTCATTTGAAGAAGGCAAGCAGGGGAATGTTGAGACACCTTCAGTTGAAGAAGTCGAGCAGGTGAATGTTGAGATGCCTTTGGTTGAAGAAGGCAAGCAGGTGAGTGAGGCACCTTCAGTTGAAGAAGGCAAGCAGGTGAATGTTGAGGCACCTTCAGTTGAAGAAGACAAGCAGGTGAATGTTGAGGCACCTTCAGTTGAAGAACACATGCAAGTTGACCCTGAGACACCTTCAGTTGCAGAAGACGAGCAAGTGAATGTTGAGACACCGTCAGTTGAAGAAGACAAGCAGGTGAATGTTGAGACACGGTCAGTTGAAGAACACACGCAAGTTGACCCTGAGACATCTTCAATTGCAGAAGGCGAGCAAGTGAATGTTGAGACGCCTTCGGTTGAAGATAGCAAGCAGGTGGGCCATGAGACACTTTCTGCTGAAGAAGACAAGCGAGTGAACATCGAGACATCTTTGGTTGAAGACAGCAGGCAGAACGACATTGAGAAACCTTCAGTTGCATCAAGCATCGAAGCAGAGCAATCCACCAATATTGACGTGTCCGTGCAGGAAAGAGACCCTGTCGCATCGTCCGCAGAGCAACAAACACCGAAGCCTTGCACCGACGAGAAAGACCAAGACGGCGAAGAGAAGTCGACGGACCGAGACAACGAAATAAACCTCCGGAAGGAGCGAGTGGAGATGTGCAAAGGAAACGCATCGATGCCGGACGAGTGGCGGAAGAACGCTGCCTCGCCCACCGAACCGGGCGGAGCGAGGCGGGGCGTCGCGATCGTCGTCATCGTCGAGAATTCCACCGACCGAGACGACGAAACAAACCGAGAGGGTGAGAGGGCCGAGCTCTTGGCCGACGTGGCGCAGCCGGACGACGAGGATGGGGCTGCGGTCGGTTCGGAGGCGGCGTGGCCGCGGGACCGGGACGCGGCGGCGTCGACGCGCGAGCTGGTCACGCCGCCGACCCCGCCTCCCTCGGAGGCGTCCGTCACCGAAACCGCGGTGCAGACGGACGCGGAGGACTTCCCCGAGGAGCTCGAGGGGTTCGAGTCGTCGCTGGGCCTGGCGTACGCCTACGCGGCCATGAACGACTTCGACGTCGGCGCCTGGCGCGCCGCCAACGAGGCGGCGGACCGTGCACCGGAAGCGGAAAGCCAACCGGCGGACTCGCGTTCCGCGGGGGGCCCGGGAGAATTCCACGAAGCGACGGCGGAGGTTGTGACTTCGGCGACGTTGGAAGAGAGGCAGGAGGAGGAGGTGGTGGGAGAGGAAGTTCTTCGAGAAAGAGCTTTGCGGCAGTCCGCGCCCGAAGACGTCGTCTCCGTGGAGGGCAGGCCCGCAGACGCGTCCGCCGGGCCCTCGGAGAACGGTCACGCGGCAGAGGACGACGAGGTGGCGGCGGCGGCCGAGAGGGGCGGCGAGGAGCACGGGGCGGGCGAACGTCACGAGGACAAGGCGGGGGGCGACGAGGTGGACTCGGCTCGGCCGGCGCAGCATCCCCAGGGGCCCTGCTTCCGCCTCCGCCCGCGCAAGCAGAACACGCTGTCGATGATCGAGCAGGAGATCCGCGAGTCGCAGGAGCGCGAGGAGGAGCTCCGGGCCCAGAGGCGCAGCCTCTACAGCTCCGACGACGGCTCCTGCCCCTCGCCGTCACCGCCGCCGGCGGCGTCGCCGGCGCCGGACGAGGCCACGAAGGGCCCGGCCACCGAGGCCGCTCCCAAACCCACGGCCGAGGCGTCCCAGCAGCACAAGACCGGGCCAGGTACGGAGGGCAGAGGGGGCGGAGGGGGGGACTAGCGGCAACATAACAGCAGTGGTGGGAGTTCCACATTCCTATGGTTGGGGCTGTTATGTGTCTATGTATGTCAGTCCACAGTCTAAGCACTTTCTCTTTCATGAGTCCATCACTGGGAAAGCAGAGGGGTCCATCAAGTGTGCTAATTAATTAGGCATGCAATGATGCATCCAATTAAAAGTTCACGGTACATGCTCTTTAAACCGAACCCGCGGGCCTGGTGAGTTCCTTTGGCTCCTGGATGGGATTCAAATGCACAACCTTACTAGTTGTGAGCCGAGCACCCAAGGCAGAGTACATGCCACTTGTCTAAATTGAATATCATCATCAGCAGCCATGGTCAATCCACTGCTGGATCGGTCATTACCTTCGGTAAAATCATCATAAAAACAGCATTCATCATTGTTAACATCATCATCACAACCAGTGTTTCGGCGCGTTGCCCCGTGAACCCCCGGTGACCTCATTTCTGTTCGTGGCCATGGCTGAACGGCGCAGGTGAGCCATCTCTGAACCGGTCCTCTTCACCAACCCGCACTGCCCAGCGTGGTCAAGTATCGTCGCACACCCCCACGACCGACACTAAATCCGCACCTCCCGATCGGCGCGGTTGACTACGTACGGTGCCAAAGAAGTTCAACACACGTACATAAATATGGCGTGTTGACCACGGGGCTATGCATTATGCTTATTAAGGTCTGCAGAAGAGTCGTTGTTATTATTAATTGACATCATTTCCACGTTTAGGGTCAAAATCTCCGCGACGCTGATGATGAAGTCTCCTCCCCTGTCCTCTCTCTCTCTCTACTGTGACGACGCAGGGAGGATCGAGCGAGTGAAGCCCGCCACCGCACGCACCCTGGAAGAGGCAGAAGAGCAGGTCCCCGCTGAGTCGGACAAACGTGGCAAGGGTCTCATGCAGTCCCTGGTCAAAGACTACGACAAGGTGAAGCTTCGCGACAAGAAGGAAGACCCCTTGGTGAGTCTAGATTTGAAGCTTTCGTGACTGCAAGGATTCATATTCTTGGGTTTTTTCGGTAAAGTCACGTAGGTAAAAAATAAAAATTTTAATTAATAAAAGTAAAATAAAAATAAAATAAAAATCACGACGATTTGGAGGCAACACAAGCTTCCATCTTAAGGTGGAACCATCACAGCACGCTTGCTGTATCAAGTAAATTACTTTACCTAAAAAAACCCAAGAATATGAACCCTTGGTGAGTGTACACAACAACAACGATAACAACAACGACAACAACAAAAGCAGCCGCGCCACCATTCGCCAAGATTCATAATGATGTGTTGCTTCTCTGGTGTCCTTTCTTAGGAAGCCACTTGGAGCTATGCACTTTTAAATCTAGATTGACAACTCATTTCTTTGGAACTGCTTGTTGTTGTGTTTAGTTTGTTGTCCTTCCCCCGCACCTCCGTTCAGCCCGGTTGGCTACGAACGGTGTGTCTGACTGGAGAGCGCTTTACGTCTCATCTCATCTCAAACATTTTCAAAGGGCGCCCCCAGAAGCAGCTGTCCCCGTGGGCACAAGGTCACTACTCGACACCTGGCCTGCACACAGGCATGAGTCTGCCGGAAGGGGGTGATGATTAAATTGCTTGTTGCGTGCCATCCCAATTGATCAATTTGTGGGTAATTTTCTTATTTGGCAAATTTGTAACCCGATGCCCATGATGTCACGGGATCTCTTAAAGTTCACCGTGAAGCAGACGGTGCGTGTTCCATGTTTATTACACCCGCAGTAATAACCAGGGCAGCCACCGGTTTTTCGAACCACGAACCTCTAACAAACGGTGAACGTGCTCCCGCTGGGCCACGTCACCGCCCCACGTGATGGTGACATGATGTCACCCCAACATTTGTGTCACACTCGGTGCACTTTCAGGCGACGTGAAGTGTTCTAAGAGCTCGCTGGCAGGTCGCGTGACACACGGACGCATCGAAATCCTCACGCAAACTTTGGTTTTACGGGTGGCCAAATTGAGTCTGCGGAAACGCATGTCGTTGGGGTGAAAAAAATCGACGTTTCCTGATCTAAGCGGTGCCGATGAGTAACAGAGGTGGACGTTTCACGATACGAAAGAATCGGTGATGACACATTCACATACGTTGTGAGTACTGGATGCTTACAGCCCTGCAAGTCCACTGTCGGCAACGGTAGTCACCACGTTATTAAAAACGAACCGATTCTTCGATCAACTTGTCACCATGAACCGCGAGAGGGGAGTGAACCATGACACCCATCTCTTGCACGTTCAAAGTTTGGAGGCGGGGCAGGGGGGTTCTCCGGAACGATGGTGACACCACATGAATTTTGAACACCTCTAAAACGCAACAAACACGCGTCTTACACCGAGCGTATCGGGGCCCCTCCGTCATCCGTGTGGCCGGTGTGCGCGCAACGCCCAACACTCACAAGCCCCGCCACCCACCTACTGGCCGGAATAAATATTGACCGCCCGTGTATATTCACGCGTTGTTCGAAACCTCTTGCAAATGAGAGGGGTGGCGAACATTGTTCTTGAATGATAAACCAAACAATTGCTATACTCTTTGGTTCTTTCGGTAAAGTCACGTATGTGAAAAATAAAATAAAAATAAATAAAAGTAAATTAAATCACGACGTTTCGACACAAGCAATCATCATCAGGTGTGACAACCACAGCAAGACGATTTTTACTGAAGTGGGAGAGATGCTGGCAATCGAAACGTCGTGATTTAATTTACTTTAATTTATTTGTATTTTTTATTAAATTTTTCACCTACGTGACTTTCCCGAAAGAACCAAAGAGTATGGATACTTGCACTCACGAAAACTTAAAATCTAGAACAAACAATTGGTGTGTCCTTTCTGGCCTTAACTACAGGAGGTGTTAAGATGTTCAAACACCAAATAGACACCAATTACAAGGCACAGTGCTTGCGGTAAAACGCGTTAACAAATACGGTTTGACAATGTACGCAGTTACCTTGAAACTGATTGGCCTATACCAGAGGCAGCCTCTTTAATGGCACTGTATCACTAATGCTATAGACCAAAGGGTGCCAAAAAGACGAGCAGTACAATGACAATGCAAACACCAAAGCATGAACGCTCGGCTTAAGCGGTTATAGCTATGAGACACTTTCGCCGGTATTATTCCAATACTGAGAAATCATTTGGGAGGGTGGTGGTGGGGGGGGACCATTTATAAAGTTCCACGTTTCTAATGAGTCGGGGGGGGGGGGGGTGTAACGATTCTCCTCTCGTCATTTTCAATGCAAGAATCCCCTGTGTGGTGACTGTAGTGCCTCTAGTGGCTGCCGGGGTCACGTGCACGCGAAGCAATTGCAACAACACACGCGAAGTTAAACGAAAGTTACTCTTTGGTTCTTTCGGTAAAGTCACGTAGATGAAAAATAAAAATAATAATACAAAATAATATAATGAAAATAAGATTTTTTTTAATTCTTATTTTTATTTTTCACCTACGTGACTTCACCGAAAGAACCAAAGAGTATGGATCCTTGCAGTCACGAAAACTTCAAATCTCGAATTAAACGAAAGTTGGTTGCTTACAACAACACGATTCAACGCACCTCCGATTAGCATGGTCGGCTACGTACGGTGCGAAAGAAGTTCAACACGTACGTACGTGCATACAGAGGTGGCAGTGGTGGCTTGGGGAGGCCTTCATCCAGCAGTGGATTAACCATGGCTGCTGCTGATGATGATGATATTTAATTCAGACAAGTGGCACGTAGTCTGATTGGGTGCTCAGCTCACAACTTGTAAGGTTGTGCATTTGAATCCCATCCAGGAGCCAGCGAAACCCACCAGGCCTGCGGGATCGGTTTAACGAGCACGTACCGTGAACTTAAAATTGAATGCATCGTTGCATGCCTAATTAATGAGCAAACTTCATGGACCCCTCTGCTTTTCCAGTGATGGACTAATGAAAGAGAGAGTGCTTAGACTGTGGACTGACGGTGTTTGTGGTTTGTTGTGTTTCAGTACGCTGGAATCCTTGCTGCAGATGAAGTTGCATCAGAGGTACCGTAGACTTCTCAGCAATTGTTCAGTGTGAATGACATTTTCTGTACCTGACGGAATAAGTGCCCTTTGAGAGAGAGGTCGTAGTGTGTGAAGGTTTGTCGGACACGGCTGCGTTAGAAGAAGCCAAGCAGGAGAACGTTGAGATGCCTGGGATGCAGGATGGGCCTGGATATGGCAGTTTGGAATAATGGGTTTTTGAACCCATCTGTGCGGATCTTTGAATGTCAAACGCCTTGGTGTGCTCTGGATACTCCAGTTTCCTTCCATATGCAAGACGCTTCTTACGATGAAATAATCCTAACAACCCAATGCAGGATTTTTTCGAAAAAAAATCTCAATAGCACTTTTCTGTCTGAGACTTACTTTCAGGAGGGCCTTGCAATGGAATGTTTGGCACTTTCTTAAAGGATTAATTTGCCCCTAGAATAATCGGAATTGGAATCTTTATTTAGACTGAAGGAGGAATCCGATGAACTATGAAGCTCTTTTTCGCAGATGTCCAGTATGGGCATGGGGTCAGCACAATCGGGAGGACCCAGAGAGAACCCGCACATAGGTGAAGGCAGCAGCCAAAACCCATGAGGACTTATTCTTCTTGGTTCTTTCGGTAAAGTCACGTAGAAGGGAAGTAATAAAATAATAAAAATAAAACATAATAAAATAATTCTCACGACGTTAAGGCCACAACGCAAAGAACCAAGAAGATGAATACCTGCAGTCACGAAAGCTTTAAAACCATGAGGACTTGTCTAGAACCCACTTGCTGTACTCCCATCTCCTGGTTGTCAGAAACTTGGCAGTCTGATGATGATGATGATGCCTGAGTGATCCACCTACCACCAAAGCAATGAGTTGTGCACGTGCGCCACCACGCCAAGAAATTCTAAACAAATTTTTTTATTTATAAAACTATTATTTAATTTTACTAGTTAAGCCCCACCGAGCTATATAGCTGTCTTTTAGAAGCGACCTGACCAAAAATGATTGCTCAACGAGAATTGGCTTATGACGTGGACATTTATAGCAGCCAATCACTCTAAACGCGTGATGTTGATTCTAAATGCGGAGGAAAAAACCGGAGGACCCGGAGAAAAATCCACGGCGACCACGGGGAGAGAGACACGCAAACTCCAAACACGCAAACTCCAATTATACAGCAGGCATCGTCATGGTCGGGGTCGAACCCACGACCTCCTGTATACCAGGCGAGGTAGTTAACAGCTTGCCACCGTGGTTTTCCAGCAGCTTGGCAGTCACACGCACGTGAAGATTCCTGAGTGATCCACCTACCCCCTACCGCCAAAGCGATGAGTTGCCACACGCGCCACCACGGCAAGAAATTTCCAAACAAGTCGAGAATGAGACGGTCAAGAGTAAGTGGCGCGTTATCGGCCAAGGAACACAAAACGTCCGAGCAGAGCGCCCACGGAGATGGAACGATGAAATCGGCTCGCGCGCAGGTGTTTACGTAGATTGTTACATGGCGGGATGGGTGAGAGATGGCGGTGGCATTACGTGGGATTGACACCGGGCGTTTGTGCTGCCAGGTGGTGGAGGTGACGCGGGTTACTCGGAGGAAAAGCGCCAAGGCCATGCGATGGGAGGCCGGGATCTACACAAACCACGCCGAGGATGAAGATTGATGGCGCAGCCTTAAGCGCGATGGGGTCTTTGCATTGGACCCAAACTGGATGGCTGTGCGTGTGTGTGTGCGTGTGTGTGCGTCGTTTTTTGTCAGTTTGGGCCTCACATTAAGGCTGCTGCTGAATATTTTCCCCCTAAATGTTTCATGACCAAGTACAAGCAAGCCGGAGCCATTCGACATCCAAACGGGGCCCTAACTGAGCCGCAGTGAGCTTAGAGGCCTCGCCTCCCTCCCAATATCTCCTACCGCACTCCACCACCGTATCTCCAACCGCATTTTTTGTGCATCGGAGGAGTTGAGCTGCAAATGACTCCAATCTTCTTCTTCTTTCGTGCAGCCGATGTAGATGCTGAGCGGCAACTACAATTTCAAATTCAGGTTGTCAGGAGCAGCGGGAGTGGTGTATCGTGATGATGTCTCCTTCCAATTATCTGCGATTGTCTGTGAATTTTTCGCTGTAGGCAAGCGGAGTCAGATAGCAAATAATCCCGCATATAATAAGGATCCGTTACATTGGTCTCTCCACATTGGCACGGATAAAAGAGTTCTCCTGCACAATCCTTCATACTCCCTCTTGTCTTCTAGGATCCAATTAGCAACCAACGTGGGCTGCGCTGGGCAGATCTGTCAGGTGACGTTTTGGCCGATGGCGTGGGTCAGGAAGTGGGCCAAATATGACGTTGTTGTCTTCAGCGCATTTCATGCGAGCGAAAGTTATGCTGTTCCACGTTCACTGAAAACTTTTTTTTTAATTCATTATAATTTATATAACCGGTTGGATGGCGCGATTACAGAGTGCTCGGCTCACAGTCGGGAGGTATTAGGTTCAAATTTTAGAGTAGATAAAATGAGTACCACATTACAATAAGTCAGGAGTGGTCGCCCTTTGAAAATAGTTTTCCTCACCACGGGAAATGTGGAATTTCCACTTCTGCCTTTGGGCTGTCAACAGATTACGAGCACTGCACCGCACGGATTACGTTTTTTTTTTACATTGTTGATAGTTTTCATTGTATTTGAGTGGCACCTGCGACTGGCACCGTCACGCACTCCTCATCTGGTGACCGTAACACGATGGCTGGTGCCAGGTCGGCCCCACGAAAGGGATTGGCAGCACCATTTTTTTTAAAGTGTGGCAATGGCGCACGTGTGTAGCACGCTTAGCGATGACTCTGGTCCACTGTTTGGAAGTCTTGGAAATATGGGAATGTGTAAGGACCGAGAACAGGTGAGGCGTAGGCGGCTCCGAACTGGCCAGCAAAAACAAATACTTTCAATGACCTGTGTGCCGTGAGTGCACTCGGCAAGCGAGCAAGTACGTTTAGAACGCTCTGCGAGGTTGCGCGAGGCTTGACGACCACTGAGGTTTCGCATCGACATCTCGCGTTAGACATTTTCAGAGTTGCAAACGATGCATATTCATAGTAACGATGGATGAATATCGCTTCGGTTGCATTTTGTTGTTGTCAGAAACTAAAGGAGCCGCGTCAGATCGATCGCTGCTGTGGAGACTCGGGGATAGGAATGGGGCCTTTGCTAGGAGGGGACTCCCCGAGGAAGGGGACTCGCTTTGGGGGAGGGGTTTGCCGCGCTATACTTTGTTTTTTATTTTATCCGGGTGATGGCTCTTCTTTAGACTCATGAACAAAACCTTAGAAACCAAAAAAACTCCTGGAGAGACCAGACTCGATGACCACTGAGCACATTGCAGCGAGCGACACCTGCAGAAAATGGCAGCGTTCATGTTTATTGCAGGGCGCGCCGTTCTGCGTGGAGCGTGCCACTCGTGTGAAGGTGGAGATATTTCGGTAGTCTTAGGTCTTTTCGGTAAAGTCACGTAGGGAAAAATAAATAATTAATAATGATAAAAATTGAAATAATAAAAATAAAATAATTATTTCTACAAATAAAAATATTAATTTTACAAATAATTATTTCTATTATTTATGTTATCGTTATTATTTACTTGTATTATTTATTTTTACCTACGTGACTTTACCGAAAAAACCTAAGAGTATGAATCCTTGCAGTCACGAAAGCTTCACATCTAGAAATATTTCAGTAGCCCCTTGCATAGGGAAATGTAACGGAAGGGGGGGGAGCATCGTCGCCAGAGGAGGAGTTTGTATCTGACACGTGCCCCATTAGCGAGGGGATGTTTAAACAGCACAAATACTTTGCCACAAGCAAAAAAAAAACTTTATGTACAGAAAATAACTTTTTGGGTGGCCGGTAAACTACGCGCAACATTGGGACAAAGTTGGCATGTGAGCGGGACCCAACGTTGGCCCAACGTTTGTTGTTTACCGGCTAACCGTGTTTGAACACTACATGCTACAGTTGTCTGACGGCAAGTTCGTTTGACATAATTTTAACCCGTGGACAGCTCGCACAGTTTGTCTGCTTGCGTTTTATTTGGAGAGAAAAAATAAAACGTGTCCCAGTACACGGTCAGTGTTCTTTTGTTGTTAAAGTTTAAATGTGCTTTCATACGTAGACTAGCTCGGTGTGTCTCGTAGACTACTTAATATTTGAGGTCGGTTTAACTCATCTGCTAAAGTAGACATTATGACAAGTGGCGCTTGTGTCTGGTCTTGGGTGAGACGAAAAAAAAATATTGAATACACGTGGTGGTGAAACACCAAAGCCCCATGGCTGGTCACCACAGACTCGCACATCATCCGGAAACACTGCACATTTTGCTACGTCGTACTGGTAGATGGTAGAACTCCTCTTGTCCACGATTCTGTGGGAAATGAACGACGCAGATGCCATTATCCGCGTGGTTATCTGCGAATTTTACTCTCGTTTATTTGCGAGGGGGTTGTGGAGAATCATGGATAATAGGTTCGGCGGATAATAGTTTTTGCAAACGCCCCTATGGCTCTTGCGAGTAATAATAGTCGCGGTGGCGAGATGTTAACTACCTCGCCTGGTATGCAGGAGCTCGTGGGTTTGAACCCGACCCTGGCGCCTGTATATTTGGAGTCTGCGTGTCTCCCCGTGGTCGCGTGGATTTTCCTTCGGGTCGTCCGGTTTTTCCCTGCACATTTAAAACCAACATGCGTTTCGACTATTTGGCTGCTATAAATTTCCACGTGATAAGACACTTCGTTGAGCTATCATTTGTGGCTAAGTCCGATTTAAAAAAGAAAAGCTATGTAGCTCAGTGGACCCTTACCCGGTCAAATAAAACAAATTGGTTTAAGTTTATATAGTCGCGGATAAAAGGAGTTGCACTCCGTGTAGTGCAGTTTCGGTCTGTGTAAGCGTCGCTTTCTGATCAAAATGTAGTACGAACCACAGCGTGCATTGGCAGAAATCACAGTGGGGAATTCGCGATGAGTTTTTGACGACACGTGTATCAAACATGGGTTGCGTAGTTTTATCTTTTGCAGTGGAACACACGGTCACGAACGCGTTGACAAAATGTGGTTTTCACATTCTCACGTTTGTCTTCACAAATATTTAATTGTCAAACAAATCTGTATTGTATCTGTCATTGCTGACTGCACCTTCGGTAAAAACCTTGCCAAAGTGAAGCTTAAGAAGGAAAATAGTATTTAAAGAGCAACTCCATCCAGTTATTTAATTGGCAATAAGTCCTTCGAACCAGCAAATGTACTTTTGAAACTGCAGAGGGCAGTAGTGCGTAGGGTTGAGCGGTTGTCCTATTCTTTGGTTCTTTCGGTAAGTCTATCTACGTGACTTTACCGAAAGAACCAAAGAATATGAATTCCTGCAGTGACGAAAGTTTAAGTCAAAAGCTGAGCGGTTTTTGCCGCGTAGCTGTCGGGTCGTGCCGCGTGTTGCTCTGCGCGGTGTCCCGCGACGTTTCGCGCCACGTTCCCTCCAAAGCGGCTCCCGGGGGAGTGGAGGGCGTGCCGGTCGGGACGCTCCGCACACAGCGGCGTGGAGACGACCCCGTGCTCGCGAGATGACATCGGGGAGCGACGCAGAGAGAGAGCTGCAGCAGCGGCACCGTCTTACGATGTTTAAGCGGTGTGACACAAAAAACCGTGGCTTTCGCTGAGAATGAACGGAACATTGTTGGGCCTTCTAAAATGTTAGTTTAATTTCACCTATATCCTACCTTAAATGTCCCCCCCCCTTCCCTCCTGTAAATTTTAAATGAATTGCCTGTAACTGTAAATATTTATGTCATGTTTGTTGTGAGCACGCAGTGGAGATTCGGACGGCGAGGGGTGGGGGGTGGAGATTGGCGTCTTGCACGATGGCCTGCATCTGAATTGCTCGGAAGTTGCGGATGGTTTAACGCTACCTAATGCATCGTCGTAGCATCCCATGCCCTCAGAGACACCCCACCTGATGCTTCCCCTGGTTCGAAATAAGTTACGTAAATAACAGTTATGCAGTAAATGCATTTTTAAAAAATGAAATAAAAATGAATTAAAAACAACATTTGCGTTGCAGACTTCGCTGTTTTTTGTAGCTATATACACAACGTAGTGGGTTTACAGAGGCCAGTGAAGTGTTAAATATTCAGCCACGTCCCACGCGGTGTGGGAAAGGCATCATCCAGCAGGACAATGACAAAGGGCTTGTACCTGTGGAATGGTATCACCAGCCATGTCACGGACGTTCCTCCGTGGAGGTGAACAAATGTTGCTTTCGCGTCTCCAGAACCAGTGTTTCCCAGGATGTCGATAACGGCCCTGCAAGAGGACACCAGGCTTCTACTTTGCGAGTTAGTTCCGTCTCCCTGTGCCACGCCTCCAGTGCCGTGGCTCTTCATCGCAAGGCCCAACGGGCCACTGGCGGCCCTGGTGGCCGTTAGTGTGGCCCCTGACTTGCGCCCCGACACTACACAAAGAGTGAAAACACCACCACCATCATCATCATCGTCGTCGTGCTACTGTCAACACCAGTGCCGAATTATCCTAGTAGCAACAGTAGCTACTACTACATATGTAGCTACTACATATATGCAGTTGTAGCTTCGGGCCCCGCACTTTCAAGCTATCAATTCCAGTTCAGTGATTCTGCACTTGCTCTATTACTATAGTACTATATCGCCTTAAAATTTTATGGACGACCGGATGTTTAAGGTTACCGATTTGTCGTATTATCTGGCCGTATAGCAAATGAAAAAATACAATTACTTTACTATGCAAGTTAAAAGTTTGTGTTTGAATATTTGTGGGTTTTTTATATTTAGGGCCCCTTTTCAACATTTGCTAAAGGCCCCGCGCTAGCTTCATCCGGCACTGGTCAACCCCCGGTGGTTTCAAACGCGTGGCGGCCCTCACACTGACGATGTCTTATTCTTAGGTTTTTTTCGGTAAAGTCACGTAGGTAAAAAATAAAATAAAAATCGCGACGTTTCGGAGACAACACAAGCTTCCGTCTTCAGGTGGAACCGTCACAGCACGATAGCTGTATCAAGTGAGATAAATTCCAAGAAAACAGTCCTTGTATATATACTGGTTGAGGGTGGGAGGAGCCAAGGTAGGCCCTGAATATTATTTTTGTGAGGTTCGGTGCGGCTGAAGCACGCTGTTAGGAATGAGCCTTTGTTGTGTAAACTAGGTGCGGACGATGTCTTGTCGGCGAAAGTGGCCCCCTCCCTCTTGACGGTTACGAAACACCGCTCTCGGACGGCAGTCCACTCCCTATGGGGACGGGAGTGCCAACGTTAAGGCCGCAGGGAGGCCGAGGAAGTGAAAAACAAACGTACTCTATGCACATATTGCTTTTGTGCAGTTATTTGTAACTTCCATAATATGCGGAAGCTGTCGGCGCCGTGAAAACGCCTTTTGTCAGTGTCCCGAGTCTTCTACTTTCGTGCGATTATCCACACCGCCCCCCCCACCTCCATAGTTAATTGCAGAATGGCCTACAATTATGTGCACAATTTCTGTTGCGGATATGATGAGTCGCGTGGGAATTGCATCCTGTTGTCCGCAAAGTTGTGTTCCCTACAGAAGTAAAATTGTGGATTACCCCGTGATAATGTTGTCCATGGTCATCTGCTTCACGGCTCGTACGAGTCGTGTATTCCTATACTTGAGAGCCATTAATGAAAGACGAACAAACCCGGCATCTCATCAGCGCCGACTCGACCACCTCTAACACCTCTAATAGTTTAAACTCTGATGGGATTCATAGGCCGGCTGATGAACGTGATGTGCCACTCGCACAAAATGATTTCGCAAATTATTGGCTGTAATTCCACTTCGTGTTGCACAGACTGACATCAAGGCAGACATTTGTTGTAAATTGACATGTAATGACATCATAATTCGCACTATTAAGGACATTGTGTGCTGGTGCAATGACTCACATTTTCTACATTTCACACATTTCTAAAAGTCATTGCATGTAAACTGGTCCTGCACGGAGTGTCATTGTAGAACACGATGTATGTTTTTGTAACGTGTATTTTTTTTGCGCTGGATTTCTTGTGCCAGTGTGGGACAGGCAATTGCATTTTTGTTTTTCAATTCTTTTATTAATTTTTTGGCATTTTAAATTAATATTGCATCGGCTCTTGAACATGTTGCTTTTAAACTAAATTTGTACCGATTGTCTTGGCCGTGCTGACACTTTCTTTTTTTAGAACTATGAGAAACCATTCATCATAATGACAAAAAATATTTTTCTCTCCTAGCCTCTGTCCTGTATGTATCCAGTACAAGACATTTTAAGCATGTGTACACATGTGCTAATCTTGAACAACTTAAACTTACTTAACATTATCTTAGATGGCGCTTAATTACGTAAATTAACATCTGAAAGGGCTGAACATTTATTAAAAATTATTATTTTATTTTACCAGGTAAAGCCCACTGAGCGATATAGCTATTTTTCAGAAGCGACCTGGCCACGGGTGATA